GAGACCTAGGGGCAGAGAGGGCATCCAAAACTCTAAATTCCATCTGTGACTTTCTTTTTTTCCCAATAAAAACACACCTATCCAGAAATACACAGCCTCTGAGAGTCACTGTTGATACAGCAACTGAGAGGGCTGAGAGCTGAAAAAGCAAATATATATATATATATATATATATAATACTCGAAATATATACAGTATATATACACACACAAATATATACAATATAAATACACACAAAATGGGAATTATATATATATATATACACAAAATATATGCTATATATGTATATATATTTATTTACTGGAAAGGCACATCAGATTTACAGGGTAAAGAAAAGACAGATCTTCTATCCACTAGTTCACTCCCTATGTGGCCGCAACTGCTGAAGCTGAGCTGATCCAAAGCCATGAGCCAGGAGCTTCTTTCAGGTCTCCCATGTGGGTGCAGGGTCGCAAGACTTTAAGCCATCCTCTGCTGCTGTCCTAGGCCACACACAGGCAGCAGGATGGGGAGTGAAGCAAGGAACGATTTACCAAAAAAAAAAAAAAGTGAAAAAAAATTGGAGGGAGGGTGCAATATGGTTTAATGGCTAAATCCTCATCTTGCAAAGTGCTAGGATCACATATGAGTGCCTATTCATGTCCTGGTCCCTCCCTCCAAATAAAAATTAAGCCAAAAATTTTACCAAAGATCCCTTGACATTACTCTTGACAACAACTTCTAGATATGCCTGTGTGGGGTATAATTATTGTAATACATTTTTTTAAAAAGCACCTCAGCACAATACAGTTATCATTCAGTGAAAGAATGGACATTCTCGCAATGGAAATACTACTGAGTAACAAGGAGAAACAAATTCTTATACTCCTTAAAGCATACTTCTTGGATACCTTTTGTTAGGTGAACAAGTCAAATAAAGTTACAAACTCCAGAAAAAATGAGAATAAAAAAATGAAAAAATGAGATGTGAAGAACAGGTAATTGATTACCATAAGTTTAGGTTGAAGGGAGAACCTGGACCCAAATGGACAAGGAAATTAAATTCCTGAGGATAGTGTAAGTTTTCCTATGTATGGTGTGGTTGTAGAAATATGTATGTGCTGAATTTATTTGTTTTAAAAGTTGAGTTTTATTCTATGTAAAAAAGTAAATGGAAAGAAATCAATTGCACTAATCATTTGTTGAATAATATACACTTTCACTAAATAGTTTTGGTTTTATTAAACTTAGAACTTTGAAAAAATAGCATAATTTGCTTCATCATAAAGCTGCGATAATTCTAATATTTTAAAACCTGAAAGCTCAAATTATATTAAGTGAAACTCAAGCCATTACTTCCTAAAAAACGAATATATCTGAAAAGTTTAGGTGGCCACTAATGGATGGAAATTAGCTACTAGTAATGGAAATAGTTAAATATTTGTTAATAACATAATAATCTATCTTTACTACTTATCATTTATTTTTAAGTGAACTGTCTTTTTAAAATTTAAGAATAGTGACAAAATTTCTTTGATTGAAAAAATAGTTATATTAATTATTCTTCTAGAATTAATAAAATAGTTTTCCCATTCTTAAGGTTTTAAACTAGCTTTCAGTTATAAAACTTATAAGTGACTAAAAGCAGATGTACAAATTTTCACATTTTGGCACTGCATGGAGAAACTCATAAGTAAGCACAACAGCAGCAGGTGGCAAGAAGTGGGAAGTTCCATGGTTACAAATATTCATGGTAGGCTAAAATTGTTGAACACATTGTTCTCCAGTGTGGTTTACTTAGTTAGTTGCAGTGTATTTGGTTTAATACTCTATGCATCATCAAAGTCTCTACTAATTCACTCCCAAGGTTTTACAGATAACACTGCGTCACTGGAAGGTATTGAGCCAGAATTTTAGGATTTCAAAATGCCACTATAAAGTTGTGAGATGCTGTGTGAGTTTTCAGAATCTGGCAGTCTGGGACAGCATGTAAAGCACATTTATCCCTGTGTTGCAAATTACAGCACAGCTAGACTCAAAGGTCAGTTTTATCTGCCTCAGAGTGGAATAGCTGTCATTAATCTTGCACACTACTCTTGACAATGGTGTAAATATTTTAACTTCTCAGCTTTCTAGAAGCACTGTAAAATGTTCAATGTCATATCCTAATTTAAACCTGAGATTTACTCTTATTGGGAATCGCCTCCCATGAGACAGGAAAGGATGATAAAGAGTTTTCACACACACACACACACACACACACACACGTACAATCTATTGAGTTTGGTGAGAGTGGCACCAATATAGTTTTCAGAAAAAAAATAGCTGCAAGATATTCAGAAATTTCATGTCTAGTATTTGATTTAGAGTACTGACAAAGAGATGCAACTGAACTTGATGATAAATAAACTTTATTTGAATTTTTGCTTTCAGCTAAATTTATACAAAAGTCATATTGAGAATCATAATCCTGACAGTAACAAATTCTTTTCATTAGGGGCTCCGTTTTGGGTTCCAAAACAGAAGTAGATATAAAGTTCTAGAGGAAGAACTGATGGGTGACCACTATCTGTGATTGTATAAGGATGGCTACCTGTCTTTCTACAAATAAATCTACTATGATCATTGGTATAAAAGAAGCCTGTGATATATGGGTTAGAAAATACAACTTGAGGTTTAATAGATGTTGTTTACATTTAACAATCATTTATAAGGTTTTTGCACTTTCCCCAGTTATTTATGATGTTGGCGGCAACCCAGGTGACTGCTGTTGGTGTTTACATAGAAACCAAAATGCAAAAGAATACGATGACATAGGAAAAAGTATTCTTTCTTATGATTTCAATTTAAAAAAATCATCGTCAGTTTGTAAGTTTCCATCATGTTCCAACCTAGTGTTGGTATGATAATTTATTACTGTCTTCATATTTGAATTTATGCAAGGAAGAAAAAAATCACTACTTCTTTACTTTTCACTGCTCAGACATTGTTCTAGTAAGTCCTTATTCAAACATCTAGTCTTTTGAACATGAGGGACACTGTTCTTCAAATATTTATATAGGCAATCTTATTAATATTTCATAATCTTGTTCATTCTAATTCAGACCTTGACATCTTTTGACCTCCAGAAGTTCTGAAATAATATTGTTTTAAATCATTGAATTGCTAGCTGTCTTTTGCATGAAAAAAATAACCCAACTGTGCTATGATAGCTGATCATTTTTCTAGTATCTTTAAAATAGAAGGACCTCTATTTCCAAAGATCAAGCGTGGAAGATTAAGAGTAGTACAGATAAAATAGAAATATACTCCACAACATTCATGGAAAATGTGATTAAAAGATAAAACTATTTTGAAGGGTGTATAATGATTTTTGAAATGAACTTACATATTTGCAAAATGTTCATTTCAATGACTTCCAGAAAACGTGTTAGTAATTAAATGTAAAATGAATTTTCTTTTATTTGTTTTGGCATTATCTAAAATATTTCAGAAGAAATGTTAATTAAACATTTTAACATCTTGACATGCTATTACACTTAAAATGTTTAATTAGTAAGGACTGTGCTGTTTAACTGCCCAGTTGTGTACCCTTTATTTTAAAATAATAAGAAGAGATAAACAACTGAGGAAAAATATGTTGTGTTAACTTCATTAAAAATTAGTTGGATACATGGCTACAAAATACTTCTAAAACTTGCTAGAGGCAATGTTTGATTAATATATGTAGAATGAATAGGTAGAAATGAGAATGAAACAAATGACTCAAAGTACTAACGGGGTTGACATCATAATTAAGCTTGACTCTTCTCAAGTCAGTTTATAGAATACGCAAATGTGATAGCTTTCACCTAATGATAATAAAACAATCTCTTAAATGTAAATATTTTGGGGAAGGGAAATATAGAAATTGCTCTTCTTTGAAGCCACATTCTGAAAACAATGTGACGTGGCAACAATTGGATCTAAATTCTTATTTCCACCATGCTTTCTACCAGAAAAACATTCAAAGTACATGTGAAGAGATGATATGCAAACTGATAAAATTTACTTAGAGGGAAAGATAACAAACATGCAAACACATGGGCATAGGTCTGGAGAGGGCCCAAATAAAGGGGCGTGGGAAGGGAAGTAGAGAGATAGCACTTCCAGCACCTTGACTTTGTCTCTGGTAGGAGAGCACAGAACACTCCCATTATCTCCTTTAATGAGGGATTTGATCACCTGGGAAGTTTTGGCATCTCCAAAAAATTCTATACGGAACTTGTTATGCATAAAACTTGGCATCCTGGGAAAGGGGTGTTCTGACAGAAAAACAGGAGTTGGAACAAAGTATTCCAACACAAATTATATCAATACAAGAACATACAGTGCAGATGAGAATGAGGAGTGAATAGAAATGAGTAAGAGGGAATAGGCTGAGAGGCAACAGCGTTTCTCAGATGGGTAGCAGCCAACCTGAAGTGGTAAATTAAAATGACAGCAAGGGGAAAAGTTGAGAAGTTCTCTAGTTACAATAACGTAATTTTTTCTATTTTGTTTTTAGAGAGGAGGGGTGAAGAAGATTGACCTGAAAGAGCAATTAAAAGCAAGGACAATGCCTGTCCCATGTTATAGCAGGTCGCTTTCCCTCTCTATGTAACTCTAACTTCCAAATAAATAGAAAAAACATGTATGAAAAACCCAGTTGGCAAGGTTTATACAAAGACACCCAAAATAATTTGTTTACTTCAATTCCCTCATGGACTTGAGCATCCATTTATTTTCCCCCAAAGCAAATGTAAAAGAAAGAAAAACAAAAAAGATGAACTCTAAGCTGGAAGGGACCTGTTTTTCCTCAGTACTACTTGACAGTAATCTCACTTTCCCTGATTAACTTGAAACAAAACTAACTCAATTACTCTGGTTACTAACTAGATTTTTAAAGGATACCTGAATTTGATGGTCACATGATTTGAGATCATTTTTTAAAAATTTCTGCTTATTATGTCATTGTAAAATTTGTCATTTTGGATTTGCAGGTATGAATGTAAGCAAGAGTGAGATAACAAAAGAAACATCATTAAAACCATCCCGGCGATCCCTGCCTTGTCTTGCCCAGAGCTATGCTTACTCAAAGAGCTTGAGCCAGTCCACCTCCCTGTTCCAGTCTGTGGAAAGTGAATCTCAGCCTCCCACATCTGTCACTTTAATTTCTGCTGAAAAAGCCGAGCAAGGTGAGCACCAATCTTCATGTTCTTTCTCTGCCTCTAAAGAGTTAATAGTCTCAAAAAAGCTTGTCTTTCCTTTACCATTGTAACTAGAATTTATAGAGCTCTTCAGGAATTAGCCTGTCAGAGATCAATAAACTGTGTCTGTCACACAAATAGCCATCTGTTGGCCAGATGTGTTTCATACCTTCTCTCCTTCAATCTGGATCTCTCATTGCTGGTTTGCAGTGGAAGGTAGACTCACCCAGATGAATCATGGGCTCATTGCATCATTGCATACATGTTACTGGAGAATAAATACTATTATTGGTGAAAATTTATAGTCAGTATTTGAGGAGACCATGTCACCAGTGAAAGTCTATTAAAAACAGCAATTAAAGATTTTAATACTGCCTATAAAGCAGTGATGATTTGGTTGTAGGAACAGCATTGGCTTGGATGATTGTAGATAAGTCAATGTTAACTTGTAAGGACTGAAACTCAGAGACAAACCTACTAGATTTCACATAAAAGAAACAGTCTAGGTGAATTTAGACATCTTCTACACATATCTGTTTACATGCAACACATGATTATAACTTTATTCAGGCCCTTTTCACAAATGTCAAGACTCAAATACAACCATGCTCCTTGTCCTGCAATAAATCAGATAACTGTACCTTCCCACCCTTTCAGCTCTTTTTCTTACAAAATTGGGCTACTTCTGTTTCTGGATTAAATTGAAAATACCAATAATATGAATTCAATGATATTGAAATGTCGCTAGGTATCATTAATACTCAGCTCATAGCTTTACCCAAAAAGAAAGAGGCCAATTGTTCAAGAGGAGGAAGGTACTAATATTAGACGTTGCTTTCCTTGTTAATTTATCAGTTGCGTATTCAGCCATTGTTCGGACATCATTCGCCCTGTTCATTTTTCTGTCTTGCTTTTGTTTTCCCGAGCTGTGAATTGCCTTATTGCTTTTCAGTTAACGCCGAAGAGAATAAGAAAGAGTCTGTGCTCAGGTGTTCTTTTGCTGATCTCAGTGATTTCTGCTTGGGTGAGTTGATTTCCATACTCTTCTTTTCCTTTCTCCAAATCAAATGGCATTCCTTAAATCTAAAAGTCTTTTTAAACAAAAAACTAAAATGTATTTATTCGTTCATTAATATTTGCTGGATGAATGCTGAGCTCAAAACTTATTTATTGTACAGTTTAAAATTTAAATATTAAAGAGGATTTGTAATGAACAGCCATTCAATATCAAAATGAAATGTAATGATTTTTGTTTCTAATCTTCTGTAAATTTCTTTCAATGTTGCGAGTAAGACATTTATGCTACTATTTCTAGATTTATCAAGTTTTTTTTTTTTTACTGAGATTTTGACATAATAACGATATTGGAACAGTTTACCCTGTTCTTCATTAGTAGAAACTGTATGTTGTTGTTTTATTCTATAACAGTTACAGATGTGCTCAATCTCCCCTATTGTGTTTAATGTCTTCTGCAGTTAGGATCTACTTCTGCTGAACAAGCTTACCCATTAAAACCTCTTTGAACTGAAATTTTAGCTTCCTATAAATAAATAGAAATAAAATTTAACCAAAATGAAAACCAACATACACAAATGCTTTTTTGGTATTTGAAAGTGAATTTATATGTAACCACCTCAAAGTAAACCCTGATTTTCATTTGTGAACATGTTGGTGGCCTGACTTGTCAGTTTTCAGCTCTGGTTACACATCTGAATCAGCTGAAAACTCTTAAAATGTCCCATAGTCTACCTCCAGAGAATCAGATTTTAGTTGTTCTGAGATGTGAAATGTTTATCCACCCTTTTTGCTGCTCCCCAGATAAATATTAAACATGGCCTGGCATATGAATATCTAGCCTTTTTCCTTAGTTTCTCTCTGAGGACATTATCAGAGAAACTTTTTCACAATTTTAAAAACCATGAACTGTATTTTCCACAAAAGCATTTTGAGTGACAGCAAATTAGTCATGACTCATAACACTTTCAAAAATGTGTGTGGTAGAAACAGTGCTAACTTATTAAGTTTCTTTGTTATAGCAAGAGAGCCTGCAGAAGGTTCATTCCATTTACAGAGTCAAAAAAAAAAAGAGCATAAAATAAAACAGTATTTCATCAGAATAAACTTATATGTGCTTTCAGAGACCTTTCCTAACTAGTTCTGAAAGAGCTTGCTATTGTCACTACATTCCTCATAAGATCACAAAAATAAACACCACATTAAAGCTTTTCCTCCTCTTGAATATCATCTATACCAGGTATAAAGTTTTCCTAGCACCTATCACTCATTCTCCCCTCCCAATTTTTGTTTAATATTTTAGGTTATTTTATTTATATAAGAGCAAACATCTTCATATATCTCACAGTCTAGACTTAGGAGCACAGTGGAACTTCCTGCCCTACCCTCCCTCCTTCCTATATCCATTACACTCCTCCTCCCTTACCTGTTTTGTTTTGTTTTTTCTGTTTTTTTTGGGGGGGGCACAACACAAAGCAAATAGAAAAAAAAATATTCCTTGGAAGTATAGAGAAAGGGTGTAAACAACAATCAACTCTCAAAAATGTCAATCTCTTTCATAAAGATTATGTGTTTGGTACTATGGGGTACTACTTATCACAGATCAAGGACAACTATGATGTTTATCTTTTAGAGAATGATTTTCAGTTGCATCCATTTTGTTACAAAAGATATAATTTTATTCTTTTTTGTGACTGAGTAGTATCCCATTGTGTATATATAGTACATTTTCCTTGTACAGTCAACATCAGGGTTGATTCTGTATTGTGAATTGAATTGATATATACATGGGTGTACAATTAACTCTCGCATATGCTGATTTCATTTCCTGGGGGTAGATTATCAGCAGTGGGAAGGATATGTCATATGATAGAACTATTTTCAGATTTCTGAGAAATTTTAATACTGTCACAATAATCTCTCAAAGTGTTTAATTTGCAGTTTATTCCTGAAAATCTGTTCCATCCTCCGCATCATATTTGTGATAGCTTGTCACTCTAGGCATTAAAAATGAGTTTTTGAAATGCATACAACAATTAAATGTCCTAACCCTACATTTGTTTATTGCATTGGTATGCCTCAGTTGCTTGACTAACCCCAATGTTATATCTAATGATAGTGCAGGGATTGTATACCTCACACTCAGTATTTCAGCATATCCTAGCTTCAGTCTATCCACATTCAGGTTAGATAAGCATCACAGCTTCCGAATGTTTTAACAAAACATATTTAAATGTTGCAGTGCTCACCTTCATGACAAAGATGAGAATAACTCATCAGTTGGCTGTAATGTCTCTAGCATCCAGAAATCCATCTGTATCTAATGCCTGCTGGAGAAATACTCTTTTAAAAAGGCAGCAAAGCTGTAACACAAACGCTTTACCACCTTTGAGAAGATAGCAAGTAAGATGTTGCCAAATATGTCGGGAGTATAATTAAATAAGGAGAGAATAGACACCTTGGCCATACATGCAATCTTTTAAATGGAAATCGGTCTGATTAATGACTTTCCTTTTTTCACCATAAATCACATCCATCTGCCCTGTGACAATATTTAATCCTGACGGAATTCACTGTTTTTGGTCAGTATTTCCATATGGATTGATACGTCTCACTGTCAAATGAAAGTTGTGAAGGAAGGAATAGTGCTATTCCTAGTGATTCAGGGTAGCAAGTTTCTAGTAAAGTTTCTGAAGTAGATGGGTACACATTATGAAAAAATGTGGGCTGCAACCCCTCATTCCTGCATTTATTAGCTATGTACTGTGTTTTACTACTTAATTTTCACCAGCATCTGAGATCTGAATCGTAAATCAGGAGCAATGATCCATTTTTGACTTTTAAAAAGCACCCCTACTCGTCTCATCTCCCCATTCTCTCCTGTCCAGTTATTCCTTGATTTATCACAGTGGTATTGTCCCTTGGTAACAATTTTATAAAATTAACTTTCTATTTTAATATATGATGCCATGGTAGAGGTAGAAAGTCTAGTATCATACTGTACTAAAAAATGTTTTAGTTAGATGAACAAAAATAGCTCTATCACAGCTTCTACCATACCATAGCTATTAACATATATTTATTCATTTGTTTTTTTCAATCACTCAGTAAGCTAATCATACATACCAAATTTTTTTCTGGAGCTGGAAATACCTTCACTAAAACGTAATTTTTTACCATCAAAATATTCCTATGGTGTAGTGAAAGACAACAATGTATGGGGCATTCAGGACACGACACTTTTTGGCTTTGTCTCACTTAGTTCTCACTGCAATCGTTTGAGATAGGCACTGCTGCAAGTCTCCTTTAAAGAGGAGGGAATCAATTCACCAAGAGATAAAATAACTTGCTAAATATGACAACTAATCCATAAGGACCTGCACACCAACCATGGCATATTAACCTCTTTTTCTTATTCCTCACCATTAGTATAAACATGACTTCCATTAAAATGCCACGTCTGTCATATGTAAATCAGTCACTTTCTGGGAGCAAATGATAGGACAATGATAAAATGCTTATGAGACATGATAAGTTGAATAAAGCTAATCAAGCTGGGAGGCTCCTGGTTTTGGTTGGCTTCTTACCTTCATTTTTCAAATGAACATCTCATTATCTCTAGTCTGCTTTCAGTGGAGCAGATCACAAAACCAGGGTACCATCGTACTTCTCTTGAGTTCCACATATGTATGTACACACAAAATCATGTAGCCATGAATTTGAAATCCAGGGTGCATTAATCTGATCTGTTAATCCTAGGAGCCTTGGTATTAGTACCCATATTTTTTCTTCACTTTGCTAGCAGTGATAATGACACAGATATTATCATAGGCAAGCTATTAATGCTTGATTCTGTCTGTTATCATAAGGATCTAAAATAAGGTAGTTTAAAAATGGAATAAATAGATTTCATTAAGATCAACCCAAATTCATCCCAAAATGTACTTACTTTTATCTAATCTAATGAATGAGTTCTCTTAGAAAGGGGTTCGTATTAGATTGTGCAAGTATTTGTGTGCTTTCCACAGCTTTATCTCTTTAGCCTGGTGGACTATGTATTAGTCTTATTTATTAAGATAGTGATAGTTAAATGAGCATACAGAATCTTATATTCATTCAATGATATTAATAAATATCCACTCACATTATTTCTTCATGGTAGCTTTTTATGTTTAGATGGTATAAAAAAAATAACATTCTAAAATTTCCTATCCACTTTATGATTGCATACATAAAGGATTTAGAAATGGGGCAACATATTTCCTAGTTATGACAGGCTTAAGTCTCTGTAAATCTTTTTCTTTCTTGAACACATTCAGTAAGTCCTCTGATTGTTCAAATACACTCAGAATCTGACTGTTGCTCACTGAATTCACTGCTGCGTGTTTATCCAGACTGCCGCCTTCTCTTGGTAGCCTGTTGCAATAATCTCTTCATAAGTCTCTCTGCTGAAACTTTGCCTCTTTATGGTCTATTTTGTACACAGCAGTTGCAGGAAGATTCCATAAAAGAGAAATTAAATCTAATCAATTTTATTCTTCAGTCCCTGCAGGGCTTCCAGTTCAATTTAAAACCCATACTTACTGTGTCCTTCCAAAGCCTTGAAGAATCTGGGTCTGGATGCTCTAAGGCCCCTCCTAATACTCCCTTTTACTCATAGTTCTGCAGCCTCCTCAACTTTCATGTGCTGCTCATGCATAATAAGCTTGTTCCTACACCATATCCTTACAAGAAAATAAACCAGATTCACAAATTTCCCTTTATGCCATTTTTTCTCTATTATCTTTAGTATTGACTGACACTGCATGATTTATTTAGGATCTACCCCACTTTCAGTTTCAAAAGAAATTTTGGCAAGCTTGTTAACACTCAGATACATAGAGTAAAGATTAGTACACAAAATGCTCAAGAATATTTTTAGGCTTATTAACATAACTGAAAGATGGATTAAGGAATCTACTTGCAAATGAATTTATGTTTGGAGAAGACACCATTTGGGTTGTTACCATATCTTCAATTTCAAAAGAGTATCACATGTCATAAGTGTTCGGAAAATTGTTGTTGAATTAGATGTGTAATGTATGCTAATCTGGGGAAAAAATTATGCTGTGTTCATCAGCTGTAAAATCAAATCCAACTACATTTAAGTTTAAGATGCATTGTGTTCAGACTGGCTAGGCAACCTAGTGGCTGAAGTCCTTGCCTTGCACACGCTGGGATTACATGTGGGCTCTGGTTTGTAATATGGCTCCTCCACTTCTCATCCAGCTCTCTGCTTGTGGACCATGTAACCCGAGTCCAGCAGAGGGAACAGTGTTACAAAGAAGACAACACACACTGGGTCACTCTTGCAAAGAGAATGCCGCTTTTTTGAACTCTAGCCTGCCTTTTATATTCTCTGGTTCCTCCCAGTATTTTATGCTCAAACAACTCCTAAGACCCCCAGGAACATCTTGATAAAGGGGAAGCAGGAACTTGTGGTTAAACCAGGAGCTAAATGTATCAGGCCAAGATTGCACATTCTGTAACCTCTTGAAAAACAAGCTAAGAAGTGGAGTTAACACTTGGGAGACTGGGCCCTGCACTGGGAAGCAGTAGAGGACAGTCCCAAACCCTGGGACCTGCATCCACGTGGGAGACTCGAAAGGAGCTTCTAGCTCCTGGCTTTGAATCAGCTCAGGTCTGGCTGTGGCAGTCACTTGGAAAGTGAACCAACAGACGGAAGATCTTTCTCTCTCTTTATCTCTGTCTCTCCTTCTCTGTAAATCTGCCTTTCCAGTAAAAAATAAATAAATCTTTCAAAAACTAATAAAAGCATGCACTATCTTCTGGTTTAGTGACTGTAATTCCACGTTATTCCGTTTCCTGTGTCATACAGCTATGATCAAGATGAAAGGAAATGATACACACAAATATATGTCTTGGAGTATATTCTCAGGAAGTGCCAACCCCCCATCTACAGCATATGTAATTAGTAAGTCCTAATAAAACCATTAAGTATGTAGAACATTTTAATAATCAGGTTGTTATTGCATCCAAAAACACAGTATAACTTTCATATTCTTAGCTCATACCATATACTTTATAGCAACATATTCTATACTGTCACAAACTATAAGCATTAATGACAACAAATAATGCACATATTATAAAAGAAATTGTTTTTCTTCTGTTCAATTTCCTAGCACTTCAAAATCAGAATTTCTAGTTAATAATTATCAACAGATGCAATGAAATAACACTCTTCAAGAAATTTTGATTCCTTTGAAAAGGCTAAATAGGTAGCAACCCTATTTTTTTAAATTTGAAGAAATAAAAGTATGGAATAAGAATTTTATGGACAGAATCAGCAATTTCACACATAGGTACAGCCATCATAGAAATATCCTCCATTTTATAGTCTTTAAAATTTTTCTTAGAGCTTATACATTATTCATGTACATCTGTGTTTGCAGTTGGTATTATAATCCTTTTTTCCTTTATCTAACACCAAGTATTTTTTTCAATGTCTTTTCTCCTCTTTTGGCAATTGCTTTACTTTTCTAACATGTTATTTTTATTAATATTTCTTGTAGTGTTTGTTACGCTCTTTGTAATGGTATCCTTTTCTCCAACCCAATACAAATTTGTAAAATTTTCTAATACTTAATAAAACACTTTCTCAAATCCAGTACATCTTTGAATTATTTTTTCTCTGTGTGAGAAAGAGAAAGAGAGATAGTGATAGAGAGAGAGAGGGAGAAAGAAAAAAAAGGAGAGAGATATAGAAAGAGGGAGTAGGGGAGAAAGGACCAGAGATAGGAGACAGAAAGAGTTCTCTCACCTGCTGGTAAATTCCTCAGATGTCCACAGGGAGTCTCAACTTGGCTGGATCTGAAGCTAGGAGCTGAGTATTCAATTGCTAGAACCCTTAACTCTAACTCTTAGATCTAAGCCTGCATTTGCAGAACGTTTGCATTAAAAGTTGAAGTTGGAGTTGGAGGACTTCAGCCAAGCGGTTAAAGTCCTCACATTGCGCTCACCAAGATCCCATAGTGATGCCAACTATAATCCTAAATGCCCCACTTCTCATTCAACTCAGTGGAGGATTGTCCAAAATCTTGGGACCCTGCATCCACATGGGAGACCCATAAGAGACTCTGGGCTCCTTGCTTCAGATTATCACAGCCCTGGCCATTGCAGCCCCTTGGGAAGTGAAATAGTGGACAGAAGATCTTCTCTCTGTCCTCTTCTCTGTGTATCTGCCTTTCCAATAAGAAAATAATAATAAATCTTTAAAAAAAATTGGAGTTGGAAATCAAGCCCAGCTATTTTGGCGCTGTCATAATAACACTATTGTCTTTTAACTGGTAGGCTAAGTACTAACCCTTTCAATAGACATTTTATATAAGCAAATAAATTAATATGATTATATTCAATTCTTACTGATGTATATCTTACAAATCTAATTAGAAGATTAGTCAAAATTCTTATATCGCTAGTTTTACTTTCAAGATTCTTAATAATTAGCCAAACATAGCGAAATCTCATGAATATCACTGTCAATGTCAGCACTGTATATAAAAAGAAATCTTTTCATATGATCATTTTATGTGTATTTTTGAGATGGATAGAAGAAGCACAAATTACTCTTGATCTACAGCTTGAGCAAAGTAAGGGAAGATTAGTACTTTATAGAGAATAAAGATGGATCCAACTTTCACTTTCTTTGTTTCTAGCTCTAGGAAAAGATAAAGATTACTCAGATGAATCAGAACATGCTAATTATGATCGATCTCGTCTCATTAATGATGTTGCAACCAAAGAGAAACCTGAATCCAAGACAAAATTATCTAAGGTAATGAAAACTGAACTATCAACATGCTATTTTCTAGACCATACATTTAAAACTCTTCAGTATAAGCCTACATGATTGGTTTGGAATTGCATAATATAAAAGAAAACATAGGCTAAGATGTGTCATCAAGAACTCAATTTTATAGCTTTGTGTATACAATATGTTCCTTTATAGCACCAGATATAATTTTAGATTTATTTTGTTAATCAAGCCAGAATTTCCATTTGTATGTTAAATTTTTTTATTGATTCCATAAATTTTTATGAAATACAAAATGATATTTTCATTCATATATGCATTTCCTGTAATTGAATAAGGACAATTTTCCCATTTATCACCCTGAAAATCTGTCATTTTTTTCATTATAAGTATATTCAAAATACTCTCTAGCAATTTTAGCATGTATGTTACTTTATTTTTAGCTGTAATCACCCTACTGTACAATAAAACAGAAGTTATTCCTCTAACTGTAGCACAATACATGGCAGGGAGATATTTTTAAAGTATTTAATCTGAAATGTATAATTATTCACTAATATTTCTTTTTCATTGTTTTTTCTTTTGTCCTGAAAGTTAACATGGTTTAATGAGAACACATATTTAGATTTCACATCAACAATGATATGACTTATGGACTGCTTAGTATTGCAGTAATATGACAGAATTATTTGTATTTACTGAACATGTTTAATTCATCATCCATGAAATATGCCTTGTGTTACACGCTTGACAAAGTTTTCAAAGTTTTTTTTTTTTCTGTATTCCTTAAAGAACCTGAGTGTGGCCATCTAACACCAGGTAAATCTTTTTACTACAACAGATAAACACATGCTCCTCTTTTGATAATTTCCCTGATAAACTCTTATGCAAGTAAAACACATTTTTTTTTTACTTTTTTGTGCATATTAACTTAAAAAGGGAAGACTATGTGAGAAGATAGTTGGGTGGTGATAAGAAGTGCAGTTTAGCACACACACAAACAGTTATCACAAATCATTACATGTGTAGTGAGTAAATGTATATCCTGCAATATAACTTTCTCTGTAAATCTTTGTGTGTCTTGGATTAATTTTCTGAATTTCCTTAGTTAACAATAAATGAATAAAATAAGAAATGTAACAGGGTCTAAATATTAATAACATATTATAATAATATCAAGCATTAATCAAGGAATGGAAAGGTAAGTTTATGCAAAATCTCTGTAATCTTACTTATTTCGGTTACTATTCTGTGCGGGTATTTTTTAGCTTATCTCTGCATATCGGGGTTCTGTCACTGCTTTTTTTTTCTTCTCCTGTGCCCCAAGTCTGTGAGCAAGACAATAGTATTCTTTGTGCACATTTGTCACAATTTCCCAACAGCCAAACCTAAATTTCTTTTGCCTAGACTAGTATCTCAATAACTTGAACTTTATAAAATTTTGGTCTTCTGTTATTATACCCCCTTATTAAGTGATGCATATGTGTTTGTTTGTAAGTTCCAGATATATTTATTTTAAGTTGTAATTTACAAAATTGATCATCAATAATTTCTAACTTTCACATCTGCAGCTTTCATTAAAATGTGTGGGTTCATGGCACTTGTGTTAAATGTCCTAGTTGCAACCTACCCTCTGCATACCATGCAGTGCAGTTGACATTTTATTTCCTCATAAAAATCAGTTAATTGCAAAAGTAGTGTTTTAAAAGTGAAAAAGTTTATAATCAGCAGGAAAGGAGCAGAAACTTCAATGTGAACACAACACCTCATGTAAACTGTGTGAACACTGGTGAGTACTGGATTGCACAGAACTGAGTTTTCTTACATAATTTGGCATCATATAAACGAAAGACAGAGAAGCTAGGTATAAATTATTGGTGGTAGTGTATTACATTGAATTAGGAAGCTGTGTTTTACTTATCAAATACAAAAGAAGGAAATCTGGAAATATCTAGTTTTCTGAGTATTATACAGTTGGACTCTATGAAAAGTTTGGTGTGTCAATCCTTATGCAAAGGTCTCCTGAGTAGTCTGAATTTTGATTCTGAGCACGTATTCACTAGTTATAGTAATTTAGAAAGGGAACTCCCAGATGGCTGAATGGGGAAATGATGTGCTGACTTTGACCATGGAAAGATAATAAGGGAAAAGAAGATGAAGACAGTTCCAAGGGCAAGAGTGGAAAGAAGTTTGCAGTTCAGATTCTGAAGAAGAGACACCATGGGAGACATGGACAGCACAAACAGGCAGCATTGACCGCGCCCTCCACCCGTAATACAATTATTTTTTATGTACTGCTAACCTATGTGTGCAAAGCTTAGAGGGCAATGAATGATCATAAACAGCAGATAGTAGTGGGATATTCATAAGAAGGAGAAGGAAAGCAGATATTAGATCAGCATTCTATTAGCCTTAAGCTTTAAAATAAAAAGCAGTTTAAGTATCTCAAAGGCATTGTAGAAGAAAGTTTCTCACATAAATAGTATGTCAGTTGCACTGCATGGTATGCACAGGGTAGGTTGCAACTAGGACATTTATCATAAGCGCCATGAACCCACACATTTTAATCATCCTTCCTACAGCTACTCTATTTTTGATGTCCAGCTCTTCTTTCACTAGACAGTCCAGAGGCCCTTGGTTTGGTTTGGTTTGGCTCTTGGTTTCTATAGCAGAAGACTACTACAGAAGTGATAGGATGCCGGGTATGGACCATGAAATGAAATGATTTTTATACCTCTATTCTTCCCATGGGGAGCATGCCTCTACCTTGTAGATAAGTTGGTGCTAGCCTTGAAGTGAATAGGACGCCATAATAGACCAGAATTGAATGAGCACAGTGGCCCCAGTATAAACCGAGTCAAGAGAGAATCCAGCAAGAAAGGGCAGGCAATGCAGATCAATGGAAAAATCTACTGAGATATGAAGAAATGCTCAGCTGGACCCAGACAATGCACAAGACATGAGATGAATAATTTGAGGGTGGATTGTTTCTAAGCAAGAAGGGATAGAGTATGAAAGTTAAAGAAAAAAGGTGAATTTTTCCTCAGGCAGTTTTGGGAAAGATTTTCAAAATTAACTTAGAGTTTGCCATAGTATACATTTATAGTTCATTTAGCTTTGCTTAGTTCAAGTATATTTTAAGCAGGATATCCTAAATCACACAGTATGAAGAAACCAATTTCAAACTTACATTGCTTGTCTTTTAAAAACTATGACAACAAAATTGATTTCTTTTCAAAAGTATACTATGGAAAAATCCCAAAATTATTTTAAAATGAAGTAAAGTTAACCCAGAGCTTCTAGGACTGCTGGCTATTGCGGGCTTCAGGGCAACCTGATGCTTTCTGGAGGCTTCTGAGGAACTACATGCACGTGAAATCCGCTCAGTGCCTGGTGCTGCAAGTTTCAGGCAATGAGAAATGAGCTTCTTGGTAATTGACAAAGAAGTTGGGGGAAGAAAATTTTATTGCTAATCAAGAGCTTAATTGCCTTTGGGACATTTTAAATAAATGCCATGTAGTACTTAAAAAAAATGAAGTAAAGTTTATGTTAGGATTCACAAACACCAACTAAAACTGATTAAAGGCAATTTTTTGGGCAAGTGCGTTTTCTCTCTTACATTGGAAGATCTTTATCACACTTAACAAACCAAGAGATTTTGAGAGGCAATTTTGTTGTGTAAGAAAAGAAATATTCCCATAAGTTCATAGAGTGGAGCATCTACACTAATACCTAGTTCGAGGACAGATGATAAGTGTTGTTTTTTAAAATGGTTTGGATGGACTTATCTTTTTTATTATAAATATAGAAAATGCCATGGATATCATTTAAATGTCATACAGTATTCAACACTATGATCCTCAGAACTGGAATCTATTTCTCATTTCCCCATAACCCTAGAGGTTTCTGGATATACACAATTACACAGAGCACATACAGGTAATCTATATTAAAAGAGACCATCCTGTGATGTAGAATCCACAGCTTGTGATATGGGCATCTATGTCTGCTCATTAGTTTGGCAAAATCAACTACAGCTGTTGACTATAATAAGTCAGAATTTGAATATATTTTGCAAATTAATGACTTCTTTTTTGATGTTGGGTAACAAATTAGGAAAGAGGATATGAAACAAGAAAATCTTGACATGAATATTTTAGCAGCTCATTAAAATTAGATCACAAGGTCATTTGTTTTAACTGTGTCAACTGGCATTGGCAGATGGTGTTACTCTTTAACACAAGAGAAAATAGAAATGATTTTCTCGAATACCAAAGACACTGTTCCTATGATAAAATAAGGGAGATGACCTCTGCAGTGTTTGACATTGTATCTTTTTGTAGATATTGATAGGCATTGCTGGTGCCTACAATGAGTTCTGCAAATGTAATGTTTCTTTTGTTGCTCTCAGATTACAATCACATCATTGTACACTGCCTAGAGCTAGCATACTGCAACTTCAAGTTAACAAGGGCAGAACTTATCCGAAGCCACAGAACTTGAAAGAGAGAATACTAGTGTGCTTCACTCAGCTATCAAAAAAGCAAAACTTGACTCTTCAATTTAAATAAAGTTAGTTCTGCTTGCCAGGCTAACGTTAACCAAATTGAACCATGCTTCCCACCTTTTGCACAGCTCATTGGAATAATAAGGCAATAGATTATGAAAAACTGACAGTAAAATCATCAAACTGTCACTGGCATTACATGAGTAATTGTCACACAGATGAATCATACATCGACTCTATTAACCAATATTACATGAAGGCAATCCCATACTTCATTCCATAACCACCCCTTAAAATAAACTGATGAAAAGCAATACAGGAGTTCTTAAGAAAGATGAATTGTCTTTTTTCTCCTAAATCATTATTCATACGCAGACATTTAAAGAATTGACTAAAAACCCTCCAGTAAAATGCTTTGTGCAGCATTCAATATGTAACAAGGAAGCTAATGGAAAAGGCAGGCAGTGGAAGGAAGAACTTTCAGTTGTCATGCTGAAGAGTGCTTTTAGGAAGA